CAAAATGTAAGTGGTCTCCATGGCATAATTCCTGCATGTAGGTCTTGCATCCATTTCGGCTATTCCAGCTTGAAGTATGAGTATTGTATCTGAGTTGTGAAATATGTAGGTGTTAGAAAAAAAAAAAAACAACTATATATTAGGAGTTAAATCTATCTGGTGTTCTCAAGAGGTATTCCCCAGAGGTTGGTATTGGGCCCTCCCTGGTCGGATGGGATGAGGGGTCTGGAGCACAAGTCTTAGGAGTGGCTGACAGAGCTGGGATTGTTTAGTCTGGAGAAAAGGAGGCTCAGAGGTGACCTTATCACTCTCTACAACTCTCTGAAAAGAAGTGTTGGTGGGATGGGAGGTCAACCTCTTCTCCCATGGAAGCACGAGAGGGAATGTCCTCAAGTTGCACCAGGGGAGGTTCAGGTTGGACACTAGGAAAAAATTTTCTCCAAAAGAATGGTCAAGCACTGGAATGGGCTGCCCAGGAAGGTGGTGGAGTCATTGTCTCTGGAGGTGTTCAAGTATCGCTTAGATGTTGTACTGAGGGACATGGTTTAGCAGGGAAATATTGGTGGTAGGTGAATGATTGGACTGGATGATTTTTGGGGTCATTTCCAACCTTAGTGATTCTGTGATTCTATTCTATGATTTCCTAATTCTCTATTTTTTCCTCTAGGTTCGATATACGTTTAATGAAAGAAGGCCGTATGAAGGGTCAGGCTTTCATTGGACTTCCTAATGAAAAAGCAGCTGCTAAAGCTTTAAAAGAAGCAAATGGATATGTCTTATTTGAAAAACCCATGGTCGTCGTATCTTTTTCTTCAAATATTTACATCACATTGAGTTCTCTGTCAGAATCTAGTTTTGCCTACCTAAAGGCTTTTGTTAGAAATCTACAGGAAGAAGAGATATGTTATAAAAACTAGATAGAAGAACCTAGTGTACTGTTGTAAAATTTGTATCTTAAAAATATATAGGGACACCATTTGTGAAATAGGAAAGTAAATGAGCCTTACTTAAGATTTAATTATTTTTCTGTACTTTGCTCTTTGATACCGCAAGCCCAATCCAAAAGATAGTTTAAGATGTATAGCCATTGCATTTAAATTAAGTAGGGTTTTTGAATTGTTTAAACCTGTGTTTGCAGAATTGGGAGATGAAGTGTTTGGTTTGTTTTGCTAGTTGGCTTTTTTTTTTTATAATCTCATACGAATTAGATACTTCGGGGGCATGTATATCATGTTGGGGTTTCTACACTTCTTTGATTGGATTGCCCTGTTGTTTCAGTTTGAAATCTTTTTGCATCCTTTCATGCTGTTGAATTAAACGTTCCAAACGTTCCAGTTTTTTATGAGCTCTAGAATATACTCTCTGGAAGTATAATGCAGATCAGTGAGATGCTATCTTTGACTAGGATTGTGTTGCTTCTTGACTGACTTCTGTTTATCATTGACACTTGTAGTCCTTAACAGAATCTCAGCAATTTGCTCGTTCAGCTAGACCAAAGCAGGATTCCAATGAAGTGAAAAGAAAAAAGTAGAACATAGCAAAAGGTATGGACTCTTTGCCTAAAAATTACAGGGTTTTGTTTTTCATTTTGCTGCCTTTTTTCGTTTTATTTTTTATGATTGCTTTAGGAATAGTGACAGTGAAAGAGAAATACTCCATACAGTATTCTTATCTTAAATGTGCTCTTCTATCAGGAAACCAGTTTGCAGGATGTGTAGTTGGTTTAAGATTGAAGATTGCTTCTTCCTCTGTTTAGAAACCTGGAGTCTGTTATCTTCCTTATCTTGATATCCTAAGATAGTTGTCTGTATTTTCTGATCCTTAATGCTGGGAGATTGGAACTTGGGGAGAATGGCTTCATGGAATTGGAGTGCTTACGTTTTTAGTAATGTTCTGAGATTTGGGTTTCAAAAGGAGTGGCAGCTTTGCCCTTTCCTGTCCTTACTCCCACCATGCATGCTGTAAAGCTGTTTCAGATATCTGTTTCCAGCAGTAAACTTGCTTCTGCCACCTCTGTCAATGAGATCCTAGTACTACTGCAGCATCTCTTAAGCTTGTCTGATTTAGGAGATGTTTGTGTTTCTGAAAATATTACTTAATAATGCAGTAATTGAGACTTGCTTTGCTACGGAGTGCACAGGTGCTGATTTTTTAACATTTGACTAAATTGATGAGAAATCAACTTTCTGCTAAAAGTAATCACTTCACGTCGTACATCTTTACTTCACTAGCGCTTACTCTTAAGTATTTGCTTTATACTAAAGTAAATGAAGCAAAATTGTGAGAATTTTTGTGGCCTCCAAAAATTTGGGTAGTGAACTGCCTCGTATTTGCACCAGTTACTTCAGATGCTAGCACAGAAACACTCTGTTCTCAGCCTGCACTCTCTGATAAAATAGCAAGCTCAAATTTGAAGAGCATTTTATCTGAATTACATGTTATGATTGAATGTCACTCTGGTTATCCATCTCTTTACCGCAGAACTTAAAACTTTGGTTGAGTGCTTTAGAAAAGTACTGCTTACTCCTTCATGTTTTTTCATCTGAATGTCTTGGTCATTATTTAGAAAAAAAAATGATAATAATAATAAAAAAAAACAACTCTGAAGTTTGAAATGTGAACAACTGATTTTAATTTTAAAAAATTGTTTTCATTCCCTTGGTATTGTTATTGTGAGGATAGTATTTCTATTAGTAATAGCTACTTCAGTTGTAGGCTTTTTGCTCTATCTGCTGACTTTTCATCAGGTCTCAGTTGAGCTTTTTTACCTCATTGCTAAGGTGCTGTTTGGACTTACAGGTACTATTTTGACTTACAGATTTTGCAACCCATAAATTAGTATCTTTTATTTGATAAAAGATGACTTGTTCTTACAGGTGTTTTTCTGTGCTGTTTATTGAAAGCAGACGAATGAGCCTTGATTTTGAGCTGTGAGGAACAAGGGTGTGCAGAAGTGTTTCATTTTTTTCTTATTCCTTCCTAGTTAAATAAAAACTATTAGTTATATTTTTTCCAGGGTGTGATAAGAGTGTTATTAAAATTGTTTTAAACAGAAAAAGGAAACTTGAAGTATTTTTAATTAATGTAAAGCTTTAGATGTGAACTCTGAATGGTAATTCTGGCATGTCATGCATTAGCAACCAGCTTAGTGCATTCAATTTGATTCTGACTTTACTAAACATGCTAAATAATACTTGAATAGCGGAAAGAAAATAACCAGGCACTTACTATATTATTAATCATATTGATGATCAACTCAGAAGCTTTTTTTTTTTTTTTTAATGAGCAAACACTCAAGACATAATTGTACATCTGAAAGTCTGCGTGGGTTGCTTCAGTTTCATGGCTTTAGTAAATGGTAGACAGGACTTCTTCCACGCCTTCACTATTTATATGTGACAGTCACATAATGCACCACAGACTAATTGAAATCCCTAAGAATCCTAGGCAAGGTACAAATCATTTCTTTACAAATTGCTTTCACGCTAATGATGAGGCAGAACCCTTTTTCTGCAGAGTGTGTTTTCCTGTGTCTGCTGAAATACTCTGATAAATGCTAATTTGTGATGCAGAATTCAATTATATAAAGCCGAAATTCATGTAGACACCTGGGGAACTTGAAGTTTGATTTGTACTGCATCACAGTGTTTTTTTTCTTCTGTAAAAAAAAATTGAATTGATCATTTTTTAAACAGGAAGAAGCTGTGAGTAATTCATAAACGTTATTTATTACTTTCTCTACAAATATTGTTTCTTTGGTAGAGAAAACAACACATAATGGTTTATAAAAACACTGTGTGACTTATTGCTAAATGAAATGCCTTTTTCTTGATTAACGACAAAAATGTCAGATAGTATTTGGAGTGACTATTTCTCTGTGGGTAAAATATAGTTTTTTGGTATAAGGGTTATGTAAAAGAAACTGATGCTGAGAGGTCATCAGCTTCTTTGTAGAGAAGAAGCGACCTGAAAGCCTGCATTGAATGGAAGCGTGTTTGGTTTGGATCTGATGGAGAAAGTGAGTCTGTAAAATGTCGAAGACTTGAGGAAGAACTAATGAAACAAAAATCTGCTATTGTCATTGTAGTTCAAGTTATCAAAATATGGATTTACTTTTGAATACGGAGTTAGTGATGGTGGATTCACCAGACTGGGTCAAAACTGTATTTATTAAGTTATACATTTTTGTTTATGATAGGTAGCATAAATTTAATGTCTGTGCACTTTTGAGAGTTAAGTAAAATTAAACAACATTCTGCTGTTCTTCTTTAGAAACATTCCTGCGTATATACTGCAGTAATACTGTCATGCAGAGTGTATCCTTTCTTGTTGTATCCTTTTATGTGCAATGTTTCCCGTAGCACTCAACCACCTCTAACTTCTCATCTAGAATAGGTTTGGGGAGGAGCTTATGCATTTTAAAGCTGAATTAATCTATCAGTTTAAAAGTAGCACTTTTTCAGGGGGAAAAAAAAAAGAGCTATCTGTTGGATGAATAGTTGAAATGAACTTTCCTAATCTTAAAAGGTGGCTTTCACCTTTCTCTTCAAAGGTCCTATCATTTATTTCATTTCTGATACAGTTCCTTAGCTTGTCTGAGCTAGAAGTGTTTCACTGATGTGTGTGGAGCTGTGCTGGGCTCACAACTGAGGATGTTGTTTTTAAATAAATCATTAGGTTTAAAGTATGTCGCAAGGCCATGATTAATGTTATTAGAGGGTTGATGTGTTTGATTACTGTTGTCCTACTGTATGAGAAACTGTTGATTTTCAGTTTGTACATTTGTCTTTTGATTTTGAACAGCAAAATCCAACAGTGTCTCACAATGCAGTAATAGAGTTCAGAATTGAATTATTAGTCACTGTTAACATTTTTGTTGTTTCTTTCATCGTTCTCTTCAATGAGGTAGTGTTGGTGATGGTGACGTTTTTTTTAATTTCGTATTTACATTATCATTTTTCATTTACTGTAATATAAAACTAATACAGCCTGTACCTGCTAAGTCGGGTTTTTTTAGATACTCAGAAGTCTTATAATATTAACCATCTTTCAATTTAGTTGTCAAAAGAAAGCATGTCACTGCTAGGATTCAGTTGTTCACGCTGGTAACACACCTTTGTGATGTTCCAGGTTCCTTTAGCGTTCCATCCCATACAAGAGTTCTCAAGCCTGGGGACGAAGCAGTATCATCATCGGGACTCTGGAACTGTGCGTAGAGCATTTCTAAAGTATTTGAGGCAGAGTATAAACTTCCTCATCTTAATGATTCCAAGTATGTTTGTCAGAAGGCTTACGTGATAAATGTATGTTAGTTTGCTTTTGAAGTCTCTAATAAATTATTTCTTTTCTCTTGATGCTACGTTTTTCTTTTGTTAGGAGGTTTGTAAATGGAAAGGGGGAGCAAGACACAAATATTGTGTTGCTATTCTTTAAGCTGTAGGGTTTTTTTGTTTACCTTTTGCCCAAACTTTGTTGTCATTGTGGACAGCGTGTTCAACGTGATTTGGGGTGTGTGTTCGCAGGCACCGGTATGAACTTCCATAAGCCTGATGTTCAGCTCTTAATGGTTCAGGATAAAACAGCAAGTAAATCCAAGGATAATCTCATTTCAGTGTAAATGCTTCTTTGTTTCTTGGACACCAAACAATACTAGTGGCATGAATTCATGCTGTCTAATTACCGGTTTCCTTTGTAATTACCATCGTGCTTTACTCAGGACCACGTCCCAAGGTCACACCCCTCCTTTGCGGGGCAGCCCGGAGCAGCGCGCCGCCCGAGCTGGGGTTGGGGCGCCGTGCCCGCGGGGTCGGAGCCACGTGCTGGGTGTGACTGCCGGGTCGGTGCGGTACATGAACGGCACTTACATTACGCTTCGGATAGCCGGCGCTCCCTGGGTCGCCTGGTGGCCTTCCGCTGCCCCTGAGCAGGACGTGCTTTAGTCTGTCACGTCCTTACTCACAGGCTCCTTTGCGTAAGCCGCTTGTGCGAGCATGCTGCGCGAGCCTTCCCGCTGACGCGTGCCTTACCTGCGGGAAGGAGAGCCGGAACGGGATAAAAGGATGGTGCTGCGCGACTCCAAAGGCGAAGTACTTCATTTAAATTAAAAAAAAGAAAAGCAACAAAAAGAACGCGCAGATGACCCGCTCTTTAGACACCTCCCTTGCCAACCCGTTCCCGCCGCGGCGCAGCCCCTCAGGCACGCGCACGGCTCGGCGCTCCGGCCGCTCGGAGAGGCGCGTGAGGGGCGGCGCCGCGCGGCTGCCGGGAGCAGCGCCGTGAGCCCAGCGGGAGCGCGCGTGGGAGCGGCGTCCGGCGCTGCGCGGAGCTGCGGCGACCCGGCTGTACGGCCCGGTAAGCACCGCGGGGAAGCTGGGGGGTGGCTGCTATTTTTCCGGCTGGCTGGTTTTGGTGTTTATCTTCTTGTTCCTTAATTGCTTCGTGGATTTCAGGCTGAAAATATTTTTGGCTTCAACGTATTGTTTTTCTCACCGCAAATAAATAAATAAACAAAAGCCCCGAAACAAAACCAATGAAAGGTAAAAACGTGCGGTTTCTGTGGCACGTTAGCTGTTACGGATCAGATCTCGCCGTGCTGGCACGTGGTCGGCACGGAGCGGGGTTGGTTCGCTGCGGTGAAGCTGCGCCGACTCCTCCGCGCTGAGCTGCGGGCGCCCTGCCCGCTCCTGCTGGGGCTGCTGAAGAAACGGTGCTTAAATTGAGCCTTGCTTTGAACTCGGGAGCAAGTCCAATGCTTAAAGATAAGCGTAGCGCTGCAGTAACTTCTGTAACGCCGACGTACCCCTGTTTTAAACTGTAGGAACGTCACGGCTGCTGAGAAATTGGTTTTGATCATGTCGCGGTATGTGGTATTATTCACTGAATAGGTGGTGCCGGGTGCGAAGCACAGCGATTAAAACGTGCAGTGCTAACTTAATATCCTCCCTATGCTTTTTACTATTCTTTTTACAAGCTTATTTTTGGCTGTTATCGTTTGTGTTATTTTGGAGAATAACAGTTGGAGTTTTGTACTGCAGGCTGAGCAGGGAACCAGGTGTGGGATCAGCTCCCTCCGTGTTCGCTGAATTGCAGTCAGCTCTGCTCTCCTTTCCGCTGGCAATGCGGACCTTTTGAATTGTGGAAAAGAACTGTTTTGAAGTTAGAACCTTCTGAGCGCGTTGGAGATTTCAATGCGGTCCTTGTCTTATTGTGCTGGAGCAGCTGTAAGCCTTATTTCAAAGAAATGAGTCCCTGCATTTAGTCTTCTCCTTAAGTATAAGGCCTGATGGGTCAAAATATGTTGTTCTGACTGCCATGTGTAATTTATCTGACACGTGATTTTCTTATTTACTTTGAGCAACCGAAGGCGTGGGTCTGTTTCCCTGCCAGTAAAACTCAGTGGCTATTTTGCTGGTCATAATGTAGGTGCTCTCAAACAGAAAACGTGAAAGCACAGAGCTGTGAACTTATGACCTGGTTGTGTTTTGTGTAAAAGTGTAGCAACACTGTTCTGATCAGGATATGCTCTGATGTAGAAAACAAACAAAAATCAAAGCATGTGGCAAGGGGGTAAAATCCTGCTCAAAAACCCAATAACAAAACTGTGACTGGGACATATTTCTGTAAGTAAACACCACCAATCTGGTAAACGACATTTTTCATCAGAGAAGACCAAACTTTCCTGGCTTATTTTCTGTTAATGGATGTACTGGGACAAAGGAGCATTCTTTCACAGTGATGGAAACAATACAGAACAGCTGCTTATGGCTGGAACTTACCTGCATGCTCTACCAAAGAACTGTAAATAAACAATTCATTTACAAGCAGCAGATCAAGCTAAATTTATCAGTCTGAAATAACTCTGGCTGCCTGTAGGGTACAGTGGCAGCTGATAGCAACAAGCTATTTTGTGCTTGAATGTGCTCCAGAGAGTGCAGCTCTGCTGAGAGCTGTGTGTCTTCCTTTCCGTGAAATAAGAATATGAGAGAGAGAAAGGTTGTTGTGTTTTTTTTTTGTTTTTTTTTTTTTTTAAGAGATAGTATAAGATTTTTTAATTAAATGTTGTTTGGATATCTGTATTATTGTAGGTCAAAGTTTTCAGGGGTGCATTCTCAAACGCGTATTAAATTAAGAAAAAAAGCATGTGGCAAACCAGAGGGACACATGCTCATGTTTAAGCATTCACTGAAGCATTTAGTTTCCATGTGGAAGTGATGAGGAATCTCCTTACTCCCTTCTTGCCTTAAATTGTTTCTGAGTTGCATGCTAACTGAGTCACAGCCTGAGGCACTGATTGAGCACCTGAGGAAAGGACCCGGTCAGCCCTGAGAGCACAGGTGAAGGCAGTTCACGTGTGCCATGGCAAGGGGGTGGAGCCTGGCTGCACGTCTCTTAAGCCTCATTTAAGGGCTGACTGCCACTGGGGAAAGATCTCTTTCTGGAGATCCTTCCTTTGCGGAGTTCTCCCTTATGAACGTAGATCTTCTGGGATGGGTGAGCAGTCCTTTTTCTTTCCTTTGTAACACTTTTCTATTGCGTTAGAACCTCTGTTATTAAACCTCTTGTATCACCTTTCCATCATGCTGAACTTTTGGATTGTTACGTTTGGTGAACCAGCTGTGCTAAAAATGTATGGAATGTCTTTAAAGGGGAGAACATTACCTTCCTAGAGAAAACTATACCAGGACACATCCCAGGATTTCTGGGATCACCATTACAAGCTTGTGGTCATAACTGAAAAATGGGGTCCCCTGCAGGTTCGTGGAAATGTTTCTTCCCAATCCCACATAGCAGATAATTTCCATGGATTACATAAAGACATTTTGATCACAAAAGAGCGACAGCTAGCTGCATCCACATGGGCATTATTAGATGCATTGAATTAATCAGAACTTTCAAATAACACGTTAGAGAATGAAAATCAATTGCTATGTGATAGCACTGAGAAGTTAGAACAGCAGCTTGGCATGTTAATGGGAAGGAAATCAAGCTCGACTTTCCCTATAAAACAAGTCCCAAACATTGCATTAGAAAATACCCGGGCTCCTAACTCAGCGGACCTAGATGATTGAAATAACAAAGTTTCAAGATCTGATCTCAGAGTTTCACCTGAGATGGACTGCTTTGAGATCCAACCTACAATAACAAAAAAAAAACAAAGAAAGCACAAGATAGACCGGCAGGTGTGCCCCAATCAGTGGCCCACTACTCGAAATCATCTGCATGTGACAGCCCATCCCTATACAGCGTCTGAATTAATGGACTTAGTACAGCGAATTTGACAAAAGCCTAGGGAATACCAACTTAGCTTTTAAGATTATGGGACTTGGGGGGGCAGAAAGTGGTGTAGTTAACGGACCAGAAATTTCTAAACTGACACCTATCACCTCACACCATGCCCTTAGACAGGGATTATATGCCACCGTACAACACCAGGACGAAAACCATTCGTTAGTAGATTGGTTAATGGCGGCCTGTGTGTTACTTGGCCTGATAAGGCCGATATACCATTGGGCACGTGTGGGCATTTATGGCCTCCAGGAAGGACCTTCAAATATGTATCTGTGAATTGGTCATGAGGGAGGCAGTACACAAGGAGGCGATTGAAAACCCGGGTTTGGCAAAATTTTCAGCAAGGATGAGGGATTTGATTTTACAACAGGCACCCTCTCACCTTTATGGGTGGGATACTTTAGCATCTGTATTGAACCCCTGTGGTCTCAGAGGCCATTGTCCAGCAGGCTGTCCAGTTGGCAGCTAATCTGGCGGAGACAGAGCACCTAAGAACAAGACGTAATGTTAGGGCGGTGGAAGGAGCTGAGATACTCCCAGTCATTAAGACCAGGAAGGCTTCCCCACGGAAACCTCGATTGGGCCCCATACGGGTGTCCTGGAAACAAATATTCATTGATCTTACGTGGGCTGGGGTATACCTGCCAGCAACCTAATCATGCTTTATTACAATTATAGAAACAGTTATGAGACGATCAGAAATTTCGAAGTACTCCCAAAAGAGCAGGGATACGAATAATTAAACAAATACCAGTAGGAACTTGGAACATAGAGGACTTTACGGTCCTTAGTAAAGGGGGGAAGAGTCTCTTCAGGTGACTTGAGCCACGATACCAGTGCCACCTGAGTAAAAAGACCTGGCTGTTGGGCTGTTTATGGTGTGACAGAGAATGTTAGTTCCCCTGTAATGAGGGCCTCCAAACGGGACTGGAGGCCATACGTCAAATTAATGATTTCTTGGTCCTGAAGAAGTGTTCGACAGGTTATGGCATTGGCTGACATCAGCATGGAAACGTCAGTCATTTATGGTGATCTGACTAAATTCCAAGGAAACAGAGTAACGATCAGTGATTCTGGGGGACAGACTATTCCTGTCACCCAAATGTGGTTGAAATGGTTGAAACTGGGGGTTGAGCATCTCCTGCCCCGGGAATATAAAGTGTCTGTTGCCCCACTTCCAGAGAGCATCTTGGGCATAGATATGCTATGGGGTCTGACTCCCCAGACAACTGGAGAAAATCAAAAATATTTGGGTTTTCTTGGCAACTCTAAGGAACTTACCTCTTCTTCGAGTCCTTTCTAAATAAGCACAGTGTGAAAAAAGATCCCTCACAGGAATAAGTAGTGATACAGAATACTGTACATTAAAATAGAAAATGAAGTGCTAATTTCATTCCACGTAAGCAATTCCCTTGCCAGTTGTGGTTGGTTTCAGCTTTATACTAATAGAAATCCGTTGCACACTGGAGTCGGCTTATATCAGACAATATCTAAATTTTATCTTCAGAAAAATGGAGTTACTGTTAAATATGTGAAATTGATACTAAATCAACGAAATCGATGCATAGAAACTTAGCAGCAAAGTTTTATTACCACTGAGTCGGGTATTCTTTATTAGCAGCGCCGGGAAACACTGGGGATATTTCCACTGTAAGTGCTTCAGAGATTACGTGATTCAAACTTTATTACATTTCCACAGATAGTATATATTCATCAATTACACGTGAGACAGTTAACATATATGTGCCTATCTCAGTGATTTATGCAGTTTCCAGTCTTGTCTAGTGTCCTTTTAGCATCATGACAGTCCAACCCGACAGCCTTTTACTTCATCTGGTGATCTTCCTTGCTCTTCTCTTAGATGAATTTTCTTCATTGACGTATGCTCAGTAGGAGAATGACTACTATAAGAAAACTATAGGTACCAAAATTGTAACATTTGCTCACTCGGCCATTATTTATGGACTTGTCCTGGGATAGAGATAAGTTTGGCAACCTGTGTTTTAACTATGTCTGTAAGTTAAGGAGAAAAGAGGGAAGCTTCTTGATGTCTGCCTGTTGTATCTCACCTAATCCTAGAATGAGAGAATTCAGCCTTGCGTGGAGGCCCTGGCTTTTGTTATTGTGTTTCATGTGCTGAGGGTCTCTTGTCAAAATAGAATAGCCTTACAACATGCTTTCTAGTCTGTAATTCATTCATAACTGAATTCACATTCATAACTATTTGCAACATCTAAAAGCTATTATGGTTTTGCAAGCAAGAATTAATCACATATTACAATTCAACAACTATATTTCTGAAAATTCACTATTAAAATTTTTGATTTTTCTACTTTTTCAAATCAGCTATTTCTAAAAATGTGTTACAAAATATATTGTAGCCTACTTCTTCAAATCAGTATGGCTTAGGTAAAACCAGTTCTCAAACAGAATGGTAAGTAAAAATAAATATGATGCCAGAGTTTACCACTGAAAAGTAAACTGTTTTTTAGTTTTAGTTTTAGCCTGTTTTGTAACGTGCACTTTACCCTCTTGCAGGAAAATAAATATGCGGCACGAAGAGCTTAGCTGATCACAGAACACACCATGGGCGTCTATTTTCTTCTGTTCATTGTGGGGCTTTGCTGGGCACAGTACAATCCCAACACTCAGCCCGGGAGAACGTCTATTGTGCATCTCTTTGAATGGCGCTGGGCTGATATTGCTCTGGAGTGTGAGCGCTATTTAGCTCCTCATGGGTTTGGAGGAGTTCAGGTATGTATATTCCTGTAGGTAGGTAGTAAAATTGCTTTGTAGATGAATGCTTCTCAGATTAAAATGTTCACTTCACCCAAGGACAGGTTATAAGGAAAAAAACAGAGATTGTTAATTGTAAATGCTGACAGGTATATTCCTCAGCTGCATCATTTAAGAGTAAATTTGTTTAATCACTCCAAAGCACGTGTTTTCTCTCTGTGCTATTACGTTTGGATGAATTAGAACTCCTTATTGCTGACTAAATCTTTTCTTATTGTTTTGAATAATGTATGTTTATCTGCTTGATATTATTTAAATCAAGGGAAGTCCTTTAAGAACTAGATGAACAGTCTACTAGAAAGTATGATTTACAAAAAGCATTCCTGAAGAGTGGTGAAGGTTAGAAATAAGTGGATAAGCATAAAAGGCTGCTAACTGGGTTCACCCAGACTGCCAGGTTTCTCTCTGTAAAGCACGTCAGAGCGAGCCATTAAAAGACCATGCTTGGCAGGAACTTGGTGAGCAAGCAGAAATGAACCGAGCACAAGTTCTGGTGGAGGTGTGTTGACGAGAATCTGTGACATCTGAAGAACAGACGCGTGCTCCTGTGGAACTAGTAGCGCTGGATGGATGGGGTATTATGGGTAGAGAGCAGCCAGTAATTAAACTGCATCTATTCGTTTGTTCGGTGAGAGAATGCTGCAAAGGTCTGCTTATTTCTGGTAACCCAGGAGCTTGAGAACTGGCTTTCACATAATTTTAAAATAATGCAACCTTCTTTCCAGACACGTGGATCTAATTGATTTTAAACTATTTCTCAGACTGTAATATATATTTGGATATCTTTTCAATCCTTATTTTGGCAGGATCTCAGAATGAAAGGTTTTTTCAGATGCAGATTTGCATGTGAAGTCCGATGAATTTTAGTGGAATGATGTTACCAGATATTCTGCAGTCTGTTCCTTCCTGGTTTTGGGCTTTGTCTACTGCCCCGATCCATCGTCTTTTACATGATTCTTTTGGTCCGTGAGGTTGGCATTCTCAAAAATGATTAGGATCTGTCGATATCCATGGATGTCAATTTTAGAGAACGTTTTCAACTACTGAATGTCTGGGCCTAAGTCTTTCAATTGTAGCCCGCTACAGTTTTAAGTACAGTGTACTAAGAAACTATGTAGGTTATGTACTGCAATCAGCTTTCATTAAAGGGACCGATCTGATCTTTGTTTTTCACGTTCTTACTCTAACAATACTGTGAAAACATATCGAAAACAGTGCTGTTACCATCTTATTCACAGATTTCGCCTCCAAATGAAAATCTCGTCATTGCTGATCCCTCGCATCCGTGGTGGGAAAGATACCAGCCAGTCAGCTACAAACTCTGCACACGATCGGGGAATGAAACTGAATTTAGAGACATGGTGACCAGGTGCAACAATGTTGGTGTAAGCGCATAGAAAACATTCTGGTGTTAGCAGTGAAAGGATATAGACACGGGGTAATTTAGAAGGTGTGGTATCAGTAGACTAAAGATTTTTTTCAATTCACTGAGATGCGTGTTGTATCGCCGCTGCTTAAATAAAAGTATCTTAAAATGTCGGGGGAAGGAGGCCAGCGGAAGTAGAGAGATACGGCAGGAGATAAGAGGAAGAGAATGTTATTCAGATAGTGGTGCTGCGGGAAGGAGTGTTCTTAAATTGAAATTCAAGTATTATTCTCTAGGTATATGTTTATGCAGATGCAGTAGTAAACCACATGTGTGGAGGTAATGCTGGTGCTGGCAATCATTCTACTTGTGGAAGCTATTTCAATGCTGAGAGTGAAGATTTTCCAGCTGTGCCATATTCTGCCTGGGATTTTAATGATGCTAAGTGTAAAACCAGAAGTGGAGACATTGAGGATTATCAAGATGCGCCTCAGGTAAACTTACAAATAGTAACACGTTTTTGCGTCTATGCGTTCTTGGGCTGTTTCTTCTTTGTTCCTCTTTACTGCCAGATGTTGTGCAGAAGAATAAAACTAAGCTCACAGAAAGCCATCCTAATTGATGACAATAGAGGTTAGCGTTATTGATATGAATTCCGCTTCTTTATCCAGAGCTAAGGGATAGTTCTACTCGAGGCAGTTTAGACTCGCTTTCAGATTTAAGTTATGTGCTTAGGTACTTTATAAAGACAGTTTTAAAGATCATAAGATCTATTTAGGAATTCTTTGGTTTACTATGTTTTTTAAAAAGTAAGAGTTACTGTTTGCATCTTGCTCTAATTTGGAAGTTTTCTTTGGTCTCAATTTCAAAAGAAAGAGATTAGCATTTAATGCAATTTTATAAATAACTGGATTTTTTTGTTTTTTGTTTTTGTTTTTTAACAGTGTCTTATGCCTTTTCAGCGTAATTTATTACTCCTGAATCTAAGTTTAGGGTCAAGGGATATTGAGGAAACTGTAGGAGGGTGGGAGGCATTGAACATCCCTGCGATCTTGAGCAGCTCCAAAGGATCATCTGTATTGCCAGTTCTTTAGTACAGGTTGCGACACAGACTGATGTACTTTGCTGTCTCCAGACAGATGTATGCATAGCTATGGAAATCCAGCATGAGATTTACTGAATACACATTGAATATACAGAAATGCTTCTCTAAACTATTAGTTTGATGAAAATCTATGCCCGTCATTTTTTATTTACAGGACATCAAAGCAGATGGGGTGTGAGAAAACAAGTTCATTTTTTTTGTATGGCTTTATGATTCGGTATATTTCCCAGTTTTGAAATATCATTTCTAAAAATCCTTTCCTGTATCACAGAATTAATGAGTGCGCTTGAAATAGTAATGAGTCTGCATATTAATATACTGGAGCAAAAATAATATATCTTTGCCCTATACTTGTATTAAGAAATTAATTAGGGATTTAGTGTGTGCCTCTCTGATACATTCCTTTATCGCTGACCACATGTGTTGGGCAATTGAGGATTTCTGAAATGCTCTTCATATGTAGAAAACTGTCCAAAACAACCGTGCATGTTACTGTCGAAGGTGTAAGATGTGCATTGTGAATAATGACTAATGAAGGTTTTCTTTTGGCATTATAATGTAGACAGAGAAATTGAAAGAGATGTATGCAGAATAGTCTGTTTAGTTTACTATGGAAAAATGTTTAATTTTAGAATTTTTATACAGGTCCGAAACTGCCGCTTAGTTAATCTTCTTGATTTGGCCCTGGAAAAGAACTACGTGCGCTCCAAAATTGCAGAGTACATGAATTACCTCATTGACATCGGTGTAGCTGGGTTCCGCATTGATGCTGCCAAACATATGTGGCCAGGGGATGTGAAGGCAATTTTAGATGAGCTGAAAGATCTAAATACGACATGGTTTTCTGCAGGAGCTAAGCCTTTCATTTATCAGGAAGTAATCTTTATTTTCTTAATTTTACTTTATGTGCACATACTTTATGTGTTTATATAGCAGCAGCATACGCTCAGTCTAGCAACTTAAGGGTGTTTTGCTTCTGATAGTTCTGAGCACCCTGCTTCGATATAAAATGATGTCAAGGTTTAATAATCATAATTTGAAATATCTAATGTGACTGCAAGTGATTGTTGACATGAAAAATGCCTCAATTGTTTCAGACCTCCTGGAGATAATTAACTGGGAAATTTAATTTGAGATGTTATTTACAACAATGACAGTTTACTGAAGTAAATGTAAAAATTGAGTTGATTAAAAAAATAAAATTAAATTAGACTCTGAATTTTAAATTCCGAGTGCCTAAACTGTAACAGAAGGTATAAGTTATGATGATGGTCTGAAACCGCATAGGCTGCGTGAATTGGACACTTCAAATTTTTTTTTTAATTATGTTTGAGTAACTAATCGTACAAAGGGCTAAAAGAAAGATAAAGGTCTGCAGAAACTAAAGTTGCTCCATAAATTTTATTAAAAGTGTGTGACCTATAAGATCTAATGCCACTAGTGAAATGTTCTTTAGCTACATTAGGTAAATGAGAAATGGGCTTGCGATTCTATGTGCTGAAATAAGAGGCATTGGTAAATGACGAATGTTTATACTGCCCAGGCTGTAATAATACAGTACTGATTGCTCACAGTAAGGAAACCGAGAAGGAAAATGAGAAAAAGCTCGCAGCCATGCTGAGAGAAAATAAAAAAGGCTAAAATGCAATTTTGAAAGGAAATGAAGTAATGTTCTTATCTCGCATACAGACTTTTCCTTAAAACAATGTCTAGGACAGTATTTTTTACCCATTTGTGTTTTAGCAGCAAGGAATGTTCTTTTATGTACCAGGTAATTGACTTGGGAGGAGAGCCAATCACCGGCAGTCAGTACTTTGGAAATGGCCGAGTGACAGAGTTCAAGTACGGTGCAAAACTGGGGACAGTGATCCGCAAGTGGAATGGAGAGAAGATGGCCTACTTAAAGTAAGGGAGAACGTCCCGTGACTGATGTAAGATAAGCTGGAGGCATAACATGAGGGGGCGGAATCAAGTCCTTGTGTTTTTCTCTAGGAACTGGGGAGAAGGCTGGGGCTTTGTGCCTTCTGACAGAGCCCTGGTCTTCGTGGATAACCACGACAACCAGCGGGGGCACGGGGCAGGTGGAGAATCCATTCTTACCTTCTGGGATGCCAGGTGAGGAATGCCAGTGTCTGCACGATGACGCTTACTATTCTCTTTTTCGGTCCGCTCGTTCTTTGGCGGCGTTTCTCTTCCACGTTCCGTTATGTTTTTTGTCCGACAGGCTTTATAAGATGGCAGTTGGTTTCATGCTCGCTCATCCGTACGGGTTCACGCGGGTGATGTCAAGTTATCGTTGGCCAAGATATTTCCAGAACGGAGTGGTGAGTTTGTAGCGCTGAAGATTTTGGCGTGTCAAACATGAATGATTTCTCTGTCCCGTGCCGGATCTGCCAGATGGACGTTGGATGCCGCATTTAACTTCTCTCTCTGGATACTCTCTGTGCATTTGCCAGTAAGCCCTTCAAAAAGTCTTTTTTCGTTTAAAGGATATCAACGACTGGGTTGGACCGCCGAGTAACTCGGATGGGTCGACGAAGTCCGTGACAATCAATGCAGACACTACCTGCGGCAACGACTGGGTCTGTGAACATCGCTGGCGACAAATAAGGTGGGAGGAAAGCGTAGGAAAAGCAGCGATTCTTGGGTCACACGCCTCGTGGCCATGGAAGTCCTGCAACTACAATGACAGCCCTTCCTCGCATTTTCAGGAACATGGTTGTCTTCCGTAACGTGGTAGACGGTCAGCCTTTCTCAAACTGGTGGGACAACGGGAGCAATCAAGTAGCTTTTGGTCGCGGCAACAGAGGCTTCATTGTCTTTAATAACGACGATTGGTGAGTTGGTGGAAGAGACTGTGTCCTTGGAGAGAAGCGCGGTTCCTCAGCCGCAGTGCTGAAATAGCTTAGGTGTTACGAAGGGGGATTGTCCTTGACAGGGAGCACAGACAAGTGAATGGAGAATGTCAAAAGAGAGGGTGAGGTGTCTGACGTGAGTGTGTGAGGATGTAAGAACAGCTTGTTAGCATTTTGAGCATTCTATTCCTATTGTCTCCCTCGTGTATTTTGTGATTTCTGGGACACCTACATATGAGTTCACATTAGAGTAGCCAAGGATGTGGGCAGGGTAAGGCCCGGGGATTTAAGCATTAGCAGCTTAAGTTTTGGTGGTTACGGGTGGAGAAGGTAGTGTATCCCTTCCCTCATCTGGCCCTAGCCAATCTAGTCGTGCCAATGCAACCGTAATGGTTTGAATGACCCCAGTTAGGGGGTTACTTCTGTTTAACTGCATGCATCCTGTTGTAGGAGCTGTCTGTAGGCTTTGATTTTCTCCTGTCCTTTCCCGCCAGCGAGACCAACCGCTACAGCCTGAGCTAGATTCACGCGGTTGCATTCTAGTTGTGAGGGGCTAAAAAGGGAGCTCGGGGAATCAAGGCCCTAAGACCGAGAAATCCCTTGTGCTGCGTCACCCTCGCAAGTAGCGGAATAGCATCGGGCTCAGCAGTCCTTTGCCTACTTTGAAATACCTCTTTTGAAAGCCACGCTTTAAGCAGTGTACTTCTCACATAGGTATATGAACGTCGATTTGCAAACGGAGCTGCCTGCCGGTACCTACTGCGACGTTATTTCTGGACAAAAGGAAGGCAGTGGGTGTACTGGAAAGCAGGTGTATGTTTCCTCGGATGGCAAGGCTAATTTCCAGATTAGTAACAGTGACGAAGATCCATTTGTTGCAATTCACGTTGATGCCAAGTTATAACTTCATTTGTTGTTTTTTTTCTTTCCTGTTGCGTGGAAGAAGAAGAGGTTGGCTCGACCTTGTAGAATGTCAACTTGCTGGTAATAAGGTGCTGGGAAAGAGAGATGGACAGAATAAACAGGGATGTTTTGTAGCTATGCATAAGTTAAGCTCTGTGCTGTTATGAAGACTTGTTACGGAACTTGCTTTCTAGCCAATGGATTGTTAATGGAAATGTACTGAACGTGCATGTTGGAATATAAAAGGCTTGCTTAGGAAAATAAAACAGAATCTTCCTTGCACGAGAACCCTGTGTTATGTTGCTAAGTTGCGACACTGCTGCTGTGTAGATATTCTGTTTGTGCCAAGCTTGTTTCCCCGATGTTGAGTGAAAATAAACGACAACGGAAATGAAGACCAAAGGTTTTCACCCCTCGCTATTTTGGATCGTTGCATTATCGCGTTGTAACTAGTTGGAAAACCATAGGTAGGTTTTAGGGCAATACGGCACCGTTTTTCTGATATCACAGAATCGCAAGAGTAAAGAAGGAACAGGAGGAAAAGAATCCAAGTGCATGTTGAATTTAGAACGTTGTGTTTCCAAGGCTGATACACACTGCGGAGCAGGCACTTTGCTGTAGTCAGCCGGAAGCGTTGCGTAATGCGATGTTGTCAGTGAGCGCTGAGACGATGCGGTAAGAATGCCGGAGGATAGATTTTGGTCAAGTCACGTTTGTGTGTTCAGCAGATGGCGTAGTGTTTCTTCCTCAGAGGAAAGCAGTTGTCTTAGTCTAATTGGCTAAGCAATTGAACCGAAAGGCATAGGTTCACTGTCTTCACATCGATCACTTTTTCTAGCAAGTGATTAACTTCAGCTAAGCATCCTTCGGTACTCAGTCCTTGTCTCCCTGCTTTTGATAAGAGAATGTTTGGCATCTTCTGCAGTTTCAGCAGTGTGAAGAAATGAAATGTCTTTGTTAGAGGTTTCTTTCTTGCTCATCAGCTGCAATATTGCAAATACTGTAGACTGATTTGAACGTGCCCTTTGTTAATAAAGGAATCTTAAGGCTTTGCAACGTTTTTGAGAGAAAAGATGTGCTGTTCTTAGAAATGAAACGATTGTTGTAGAGCTCAGATTTTAGCAGTGTCCTATTCAATAATGAAGTCGCATCAACTTGTTCTTAAGCAGCAAGTTATGGAAGCAAAGCATGAGAGAAGCAAGCGGAAGCAGAACTGCTGCAACTGTCGGTGGGTAATGTATCTGTGATGTTATATATGTCTGTGTGAAAGCACTGTTGGAACAAGCGTGCAGAAACAATTCCTAACGTGACCCCCTCATATACTGCACCAACCAACATCTCGGTGTATTACGCTTGTAAGAACTGCTAAGCAAATGAGGGTGTCAAAGTGATGGTTGATTACTGTCAATTCTTTATTGCTGAGGAGTGGAAATATTTGTCTAATGCTTTCAAGGAGTTAACATTCAATAGGTTTGATTATTATCAGTAATATCTAGGATTTGCATGGAGTGGAGTAGTTTTCAGTGAATGTCCACATAGGCCAGCAGAAGAGCATTTTAGGTTTGCGGTGTGAGAACTTGCAAACCGAAATGTCTTTTTTCAGTGCCTGGAAATTTTCAGTGCCTGGAAACGCAGTACTCTGTTGTTTCACATGCATGTGTTTTCATCCCAGTGCTTAAATTCTCCTGAATTTGCTGTTAGTCAAAATAGAGAATATATATATTTTTTGTATTGGCAAATTGGGTCTATGATAGGAAAATGAGCAGGTGAACAAATTGGACTAGCTTATGAACATAAATTCTTGGAAATAAAAGGACAGTGATTAACATTCTACTAAAAATAATAATGAAAAAAAAAAAAGCGTAGGTTTATACTTACTGGTGAGATTCAGCTTTTAAGGACTTATGAGGTATTGTGTAATACATCTAATAATGAACAAGAGTGATTGAACTCATACATGAGTTTGAGCTTATCTTTATTTCCTTTCACCTTCCAGAGTCCAACTTTTCATAAAGTCTTTGTTTACATGACAGCAAAGAATATAATCCCAAATTTGGGAGTGCTGCTCAGAGACTGCTCGGTATATGATAAGGTATAAACACTGGGAGAAGGTATTTTATCTTCAGCTGCAGCGCAATTCAAGATAAAATAAATGGGAATATGGATGTCTAGCTAGCTAGACAAACAATAACCGAACTCTGTGAAATCTGTCAGCTGCAGTAGAAACTTTGTCATTTTGCAGGAGTATAAATCGCCAGCTGATTATGCTGAAGGAACCACGCAAGTCCTTCTCCTCGTCGCAGTTGTAGGGCTTTGCAGGGCACGGTACGACCCCAACACTCAGTCTGGGAGGATGTCTATCGTGCATGTCTTTGGACGGCACTGGGCTGATACTGCACTGGAGCGTGAACACTATGTAGCTCTATTAGGTTTGGTGGAGTTCAGGTATGTAGTTTCCTGTCTACAGGCAATAAAACCGCTTTGCAGAATTTGATTAACAAGCAAAACAGCCAGAACTGCTGACAGTAAGCTCCAAGTAACTTCCTTGTTGAAAGCAGGGATGGAAGCGCTAAGTTGTGTCAGGCAGATCTGGAGATCCTGCCAGTCTGGTACGACTGTATGTTTGGCTGCAGATCACCTGTAAGGGGACTTACTTTTCTTTGTCATACTTCATGTATAACGCCGTGTTTTACCTTTTGCTGAGTTGAGTACACAGACATAGGCTGTCCAAAGGATGTCACAAAAATAATTAATATGGCTTCAGCCCTCCCGTACACGTGTCCTTGGACAGTGGATCCAGGCAGCTCCCAGCAACAAAAGACAATTTTTTTGCCAGTCTACAAGATGGGTATCTTGCAGACCTAAGCTTGTACTGCGGGATGGAGAGAATGGGTTTGGCACAAAGCCCATCTCCTGGAAATCATAGACTAATCTGAGCACTGAGCACACCTTATTGCACTTAAAATGAAATGAGAACTAATGATTTCTGACTGAGGTACGTCCTTTCATTTGCAGGTTTCTCCTCAAAGTGGAAAGATTTTCATTGCTAATCCGATCTGGCCCCTGGTGGGAAAGATACCAGCCCATCAGCTACAAGATCTGCAGTCGATCAGACAGTGAAAATGAATTCAGAGACATGGTGACCAGGTGCAACAACGTTGGAGTAAGTGCCTGAAAATGTGTAACCGATACGGTGAGAAGGGCGGTCTCTGTGGAGCAAAGTTACTGCTCCTAATATAGGAGGGTTAAATGGAGAATAAAGGGAGGTGGAGGAAAGGTCACGCTAACAGCAATGTGGTAATGCTCCGGCTGATGCTTCAACAGCATCACAACACTGACCGAATCGCAATCGCTACCTTTCCAGGTTCGTATTTATGTGGATGCTGTTGTCAACCACATGTGCGGATCTATGGGTGGCTCAGGCACCCACTCAACGTGCGGGAGCTATTTCAGCACTGGGAGTAGAGATTTTCCCGCTGTGCCATACTCTGCCTGGGATTTCAATGACGGCAAATGTCAGACTGCAAAGTGGAGACATCGAAAATTATGGGGACATGTATCAGGTAACTTTCGTTGGTTTAGATTGTGATATTTTTTCTTGTTTAAATCTTGTGTAGAGTAAAGCCAAAGAAAGGGAGTAGTTTATCTCGAGTTGAACACTTAGTCAACTAACCAGTGAATACTGTGGCTTATCTTCTGGAAACGCACTTGTGCTGCACAGTTTTGTAGGCTCTGAGAAGTCATGAATCTTCCCCATGTTTCATGTGGGCATGTGAAGGAGCGTGCGTCTGAACTGACTGAGCCTAAGCCTGAGCCTCTCAGTTTTGTCAACGCACTCTTTCTTACGGCTTCTGAAATCAACTACCCTTGTTAAGGAAGCCCAGGAAAATTGAGAGTTGTGCAGGATGCTACCCTGGTTATGTCAGTTGGTCCGTTTGGACGTGGCATAGATTTAAAGTTCTTTATGAAGGTTACAGCTCAGCATCATTTTGCTGTGACGTTCTTCCAGTCACGGGGGGCTTGCTTGACAGCTGTGACTTACCAGTTACCGTGGAGAATGGCACTGCAATTACATCAGGCAGTGCCCTCAGGACCTGGGGTGCAGGTTATCAGGCACCATAGACTTGCACGCATTCAGAGTCTTAAAGTGGTCTTAGACTTGCTCTTCTGTTACAGTGGAAGGGAATTTTGCTCTCCCATCCTTTCCCTAGATGCTTAAGGACATAAGAGATATGGGAAGCCTGACTGCCAGCAAAGAATTTGGTTAGCATTTCAGCCTTCGCTATGTCTGTTGTTGCCTTTTCTCCCTTCTCATGTATCAGAGGAATTATGCTTTCCTTGGCTTCTTGAGTCTTGTGCCAAGTTCAGTTTCATCTCCGTG